ATGGACGCGGGCTCTAAACCGTGCACCCCATATAGCTGCACCCGGACACAAAAACAAAGTGCTATTGACATCGGTGGACATCAACGACTTGGGAATCTTCTGCGTACTTTCATAGCATTGTATTACTAAGAAGACTAATAAGTTTTAGAACATAATATTACAACATTACCAGGGCCAATTGAATAGTGTCACGTAAAACTTGAGCAATTTCAACTTTTTATTTTAGTAGCTTTAACGGATAGCTAATGTCATACATCTAATTTCCTAAAAGTATTACTTATTTGAAATAATTAAATTTTATACTTCGCAATAAAGAAATCAAACCGAGAATATTGAATCACAGCGAAATGTGAAAATTTACACAATAGTGTGGTTCATGTAATGTGCCACTCCCCAATTACATAAGTAGATAGAAAAGAGAGCGACAATACAGCTGCATTGTCGCTCTCTGATTGGCTAAAAAGGGAACATTAAATCCAGCCAGGAGTCGACCTGCATATGAGGGGCTATCAGAGGTCTAGGGCTCCCGCCCTGCTCCCAAAAATAAATCAGAGTCTATTTTACGAAGAGTTAAGTCTATTTTGCTTGTGAGCTTCCTCATTGCTACGTGTATGCTAGTGATGGTAGAGACCTAGCCCGTTACACATGCAAATTTGCTGAATATGCATACGTCAACGATTTTAGAATAGTTATTTTACTCAGCTGTTTTATGTGAAACCTTTTTATTTGAATAGGCGAAAGGGTAACTGGGTAATACATATTCTAAATGAAGCGCTTTAATTTAAAAAGATAACATAATCTATTTTTTGCTGTTAAGATATCAAACCGCGAATATAAATTATGAACAAAGATTGATCGTGTTGTCGTCACAGAAAACAATGGGAGCGCAACACTATCCTAAGAGCTGACAATGTAAAAATAAGCTTTTCCTTGGTGCAAATTCTGTCCATGTGCGCGTAACGTGTGAGCGTAATAGCACCTGCGACCTTAGTGGAAGGTGCGAGCTTATTCAACGGGATGTGACATACTGTAAACACACCTAAAGCAAGGTATACGATGAGGCCGAGCCACGGAAGGACACGAACGCGGATGATGGCTAAATCGATGAAGACATGGGACCACGGAAGAGCACCCACCCACGAAACCACAGGAGTGCACGTAGCTATGGGAGAGCACAGAGCACGATACCACGGTAGCTCATGATAGCACACGACGTAACCCTACTATGACACAACGATATCACAAAGACCATGAAGCCACGGAAGGGTACGAGCCACTAAATCACCGAGCCACGGAGCACGACACCAGTATAAAACCTAGCTCACCGAGCCACGGAGGACGATAATGCATCAGAACACGATTGCACGGACAGCGAACCAGTTACGAAATCACGGGGGAACACTTCAAAAGACCACGATTGCACACCGCGGAACACGATATTATTGTAGAACACAATAACACGGGCAACGCATACTCACTACGCTAGCACGATAGCATTGACCGGGGAACCACACCGCGATTGCACGATAGCGCGGCCGATGGGATCATACCAGGAGAGCATGATACACGGGCGATAATTCAACATAATTACGGACGAACACACACCGGCGAGAGTACTGGCAATAGTACGCGATGGGCCATGAATTATTATGGACCACGAAACATGTGAAGCTCGCATAAACCATTGGAAACACGGGATAGCTAGCAGCTACGAAGAGGGCGGTGTACGGAAGAGCATGAAGCCAAAAGTGATAATGCATAAGCGCTAAGAGGTGTGAGCTACGGGTGAATAAAAACTGCGAAGACCAGGAGGGACACGGAAGGGCGCCAGCCACGATAATATAAAATCAAGCCTGTAGTACGGAGCTACGGTAGCCTACGAAACCACGCTATCGTGCGGGTCATGTAAAACTACGAAATGGTAAGTGTTTAGCTACACGAAATTTCGACGTACTGGAGTGGCCGAACGCACACGCAACCTGGAAGTACAATATTCTAAGCGAAATTACGCGATACCGTTTTCAAGCTGCGGCCACCTCATCTACAACAAACCATGCCACCCCGCCGCGTAGCGGCTAGTAAATACTGCAGGTTAACCGCTACGTCTTTTAGCGCTACCGTCAAGGCTGCGCACGCTCTCTACGCAGAATATTGAGAACGGGCCTACGGTTTTGGAATGGTCTTTGTTGTGTGTGTGTGTGTGTTTAATGTCGAACCAATTTGTTGGTAATACATAAGTAGATTATTTGGTATGATACAGATTAGTTTCGTCTCATCCTCAACAACTCTCATATTGCGACTGAGCAGCGACAACGCTATCTTGTAGGTTGGTTAGCTGAAGCGCGTTCATCGGGAGCAGCCGTTCCAGAGCAGGAGGTACTTACTGCTGCGATGGCACTTACAAGCATCATGGCGATGCCGGATGCCATTCTCTTGCCGCCTCACGAGAAGTTTAGATTAATTTTCTGCATAGGAATCACGCAATGCAAACACTACAACCGGATCGGTCTCTCTAGCATTTGCTTTGTGTCTGGCGGTCGGTGTTGTACCTTTCTTCGCTTCGGTGATGTTGTACAAGCAAACGTTTAAACCCATCAGCTCGTTCTCGAATAAAATGGTAAATATTCTAATGGTTTAAAAATGCAAACTTCGATAAAAGACCGCTTAATTTTTTTTAATCGGTAATAAATTTGGGTTAAAAAAACGACCGATCTATACCAGTACGGGGAACAGAGCCACTAGTATTTTTTTGTCCTAGAAGAAAAGAACAAAATTTGTCTAACTACGGTGAAGTTTGTGGAAAAATGACTTGAGTTTGAAAGGAGGGTGCTGTGCTACAGCTTAAGTGCGAAATGTCTGATATAACAAATCTTTCTTGAGATATTTAAATACAGTAAAATACTGTAAAACATTCTCGATTTGCAGTACATACGACAGGTTTTGCGTCGCAAATCGTTAACACTCAGACATATAAGCAATCCTCGTACTTGTATGGATGAATATGATAGTTTATCGGACCATACTTGAATTTTGTATGGGTATATACTGCCAATTACCTGCCAGCAAATATCACCAGCCAATCACAGTATATCTAAATCATGATTTAAACCAATCGGATGTAGTAGGTCTAGGTGAGTCATCCAAGCCACCCGATCGGAGTCCGATCGGGTCCGGATCGGACGTATCAAGTCCGATAAACTCTAAAATATGTGTATGTTCATTCAGTTGTCAAGTACTAGACGTATCACTTTCATATTCCTCTTTATCGGACCTTCGCGATGGGTTTGGAGGAATTGCAACCTGGCAACACATTGCGGGCTAAGGCAACTTCTGTCGCAGCATTTTCCAAGTTTTTAAAGGGTGAGGATGTTGAGGAGGAATACGTAAAGAAATGTATTGAGGAGGATGAGAGTGGCAAGAGCTTTGTGTGCGTCATGGATAAGTTTGGAATGTATCTTGCGTTTAGTAAAGGAAAGAAGGGTAAATTGCTGGCACGAAACACTGCAATGCAGTATTACCGCCAAGCCAAAATTTGGCTCCTAGAGCAATTTCCTCAGCACCGAGCTTCGCTAGAATCGCGGCTGCTTAAAATGGGAAAAACTCTAGATAACTTTTGTCTGAAAAGAGATGGTGGTGGCTTCGTAGCAAAAGCTCCACCATGTACAAAGGCTGACTTAAAAAAAAAATGGTTGTGTATTTGTATGTCAATGCATGTTCTGAGAGTGACTACCAAGATGCTGCTCTTCTGTGTCTGCTCTGGTACCTGTTCGGGCGAGCTTCGGACCTGTCGATGATCAAGAAGCGGAACATCTCTATAGATGCCGCCAGTGTCTTCTTCCTTCGCTTGGTCCGTGTGAAGACGTCGGAAGAACAAGGTTTGTCTCTCTTCCCCGACGCCGACTTCGCAACGTGCACCTTGCTCGCTGTTGCTCTCGCCCTCTCCGTCCAAGCAGCACCGTGCCCAGCTCTCATCGGGAACCTTCCCGACCAAGTGCTGCAAACGCCGACCACACTATCACCTGACGTGCCGCTCGTGGAGCTCCTGAACGCACCACCGGCGACCTCTGGTCCTGCTACGCCTGCTCCTCCTCCTCCTCGTACTGCTGCGGCCCCAACAATCTACGCACATGTCAACCGTGTGCTTGATCGCGTCGCCCCTGCCGCCGGTGTGTCAGCTGCTCTCACGTCGCACTCATTCCGTCGTGGTGGGGCCCAACATGCCAACGGCTGCGAGAAGATGACCGCGCGCTGGATCTTTGATCGCGGATCTTGGAACCTAAGCACCACAAACAAAGGATTCAGCTACATCTTCAACACAAGTAGAAAAGACCACATGATTGCCAAGGTATTGAGTGGATACAAACCAGAAGACGTTGTCCCTCTCCAAGACCTGTCCAGCTTTGACGCAGACACGCTTGACGCAATTGCCGAGCTCCAACGAGTCTTATTCGCAGCTTGCTACCAACTTGAGACGGAAAGCTTCAACATCAACCGGAAGGTTCTGGATGTCCTAACCGCTTGCGACGTTAGGCACTATCCCGTCGTAAAGGGCTTGAATCCCGACAGTCCAGCGGTGCAACGACTCGAAACCTGTGTTACGCAGGCTGGACGTACGCTTCCGGACCTCTTAGCTTGGTCGACGCATCTTGCAGGAGCGCATCATTCCTGTAAAGACAACATAGAAGCATCCACCTCACCATCCATGCCAATGGAACCAAGCCAAGAACAGAAGATCATCGAGCACCAGGCCTCTGTCATTAAACACCTTATCGAAAATTCCAAGCGCCAAGACGCCCGCATGGATCTGCTTGAGGCAAAGCTTAACGGTGATCCTGTAGCTGAACGCGAAAAAGAAGCATTCAAGATGAAGACGCCACAGATGTGAGCAAACCCAAGCAAAAACAGCGTAGAGGATCAGCAACCTACCTTCATGCGACTTGGTTTACCTGGTACGCGCAAGAGCCACGCTGGTACGTCGAAAGCACCGAAGCAGCAGCGCTCGAAGGCCAAGCTGCTAGTCGCGTACATGAAGCTGTTCCTCGACGACGGCTTCGTTCTCAGCCAAACCTCTGCGGACTACCGCGACCGAGTTCTGGAGCTGGGGAAGCGCGCCGAGAATGCCGTACTCACGTACCTGAAAGGCAAACACAGCATCAACTCTCGCGGATCGAGCGCGGTCCTCAAGCACCTCCAGCGGGTCCACTGCGCCGGTGCGCTAAATGCCAAGATCCAGCGCCACCGTCAACTGCTCCAGACAGCTGCAATCCAAGACCCGTCTCCTGGCTACACGCAGGACGTTCTTGAGGAGGTTAGTAAGTAGAACAAACATTTATATGCGAATACATTCTCCCTTCCTCACAGCATCAAGCTATGTCGACCTCAACACACGTATGCAATCACCTTTCTTGCTGATCTCTGCTGTTCACGAAACTTGATCTTCGCTACAAGGCCTCTAACCCAAGCATAAGCAATAACGATGGCCCGATTTAAGCAGGCATCCTCAAGGCCGAAACCTTGCGCTCTCCCAGTTGAGCTACATCGTTGGAAGGGGGGGGGGGTCAGAGGCGACCTGGAGGCTTGGAAGCCCGTGAAGCCCGTACGGGAGATCAGCGTAGTTGCAATGAAAAAAGTAAGACTGACCGCCAACGTGGGCTGTCGGCGACGGATTGACTGAAAGTGAGAGGCTGCAAACCATTCGATACGTGTAGTCTAGCGCAATTACAAGTGGCACGTTTTTACTGGCAGATAATTAACCAATAAGCAGTAGTAGCTCTGATAACTTGCTGTCGTCAATTTTAATTTACCGGACAGATGCAAAATTATCCGGACGATCGTGGCGATTCTGCCTCATTGTTAAATTTCCTAGCTCATGCGCACGTGACTCTCATGCCAAAAATGCATAGAAAAACAATATAGTGATTTTCTCAGCCCAGAGGGCGTTTCAGGCCATTTCCTGCCGTCTATAAAACAGTCTGTTTGACCACTCTGGCCTTTTGCGTCATTTCACATCACAGTAAAAAAAAAACACACTTCACGTGAGCATAGACCGACTTGGTGCTTGGGTTCTTATCTCGACGTTTGTACTCCTTAGAAATCTCAAGTTCTCTACGGCCCCTGAACTAGCAATCCCTCGAAAGGATCCACCAGTGGTCTCTCATTCTTAGACCTGCAAACACCAGCCAACCCCCTCCCATCTAGAGCGCAATGGTAAACGTGGCCATCAACGGTTTCGGTCGCATCGGCCGCCTCGTGCTTCGCGCCGCTGCCAAGAACCCTAGTATCAAGGTCGTAGCCGTAAATGATCCCTTCATCGCCACCAAGTACATGGAATACATGCTGAAGTACGACACCGTGCACGGCCGCTTCGACGGTAAGATCGATCACGACGAGAAAAATATCTACGTGGACGGCAAGCCTATCCGTGTGTTCAACGAGATGAACCCCGAGAATATTAAGTGGGGCGAGGAGCAGGTGCAATACGTGGTGGAGTCCACGGGTGCCTTCACGACACTGGAGAAGGCATCGACCCACTTGAAGAACGGCGTGGAGAAGGTGGTGATCTCGGCTCCGTCCAGTGACGCCCCCATGTTCGTGATGGGCGTGAATCACGAGCTGTACGAGAAGAACATGCACGTGGTGTCGAACGCTTCGTGCACGACAAACTGCCTGGCCCCTCTGGCTAAGGTGGTGAACGACAAGTACGGCATCAAGGAAGGCCTCATGACGACTGTCCACGCTGTGACTGCCACGCAGAAGACAGTTGACGGTCCTTCCAAGAAGGACTGGCGTGGTGGTCGTGGCGCTTGCTTCAACATCATCCCAAGCTCTACTGGTGCTGCTAAGGCTGTGGGAAAGGTGATCCCGAGCCTGAACGGTAAGCTGACGGGCATGTCGTTCCGTGTGCCGACTGCTGATGTGTCTGTGGTGGACCTGACGGCTCGTCTGGTGAACCCTGCTTCGTACGACGAGATTAAGGCTGCCATTAAGTCGGCCAGTGAGAACGAGATGAAGGGCATTCTCGGCTACACAGAGAAGGCTGTGGTGTCGAGCGACTTTATCGGCGACTCGCACTCGTCGATCTTTGATGCCGAGGCCGGTATTGCCCTGACAGATGACTTCGTGAAGCTTGTGTCGTGGTATGACAATGAGTGGGGATACAGCTCGCGTGTGCTGGACCTGATTGAGCACATGGTTAAGAACGAGTAAGCAAATCGAAGCGGCGTTACCATGCACTTGCAGCTGACATATAACGACAAAAATATGATTAAAAGTAAGGCACCTTGGATTGCAGTAAATTTTACACGGTCTATCTTCCATGGACATGAAGCCCTTTGCGACTTCCATATCATAACAAGTCCGACCAGCCGAGCACCTTCCGACTCCGATCCGACGTATCGCAAAACTTTATATATCGTACTTAATACCTAAATTTGGAGGTTTCGTAAAAGCGCGCTAATTGGTTCATTGAGCGTAACTACTCCTCGTAAACGAGTGGCGCCGGTGCAATATTGACTGCGCCATTTTGCCCTGCAAGCTCAGTGCTCGATTGACCACCTGGAACGGTGAATTGAGGGGGGCGTACCGCGCATCGGTACACCTAAGAGGGTATGTCGCGGCCACAAAGAACAGTGGATCACCGTTAATTCCCCGTCGAGCACCCAGATGAGTATCCCTGTGCTGTTGTTGTCTAACCCCCACCGATGTAGCTCAATGGTAGAGCTCCCGAAAGGGAAGGAGGTGGTTCAAATCCACCCATTGGTAAAAATTTTATGCTCGAATGCCTTGCAGGTCTCTACATGATTGACATGATATAGGAACCAGCTACAAGGACACAGAGAGATTGGATTGTGTTACGGGAGCAGCTTGAGCATGCTTTGGTGCTGTGTTGGTGTAGGGTCTACAACTCTGCCGATGGTAAAACGCTGATGGTAGGCACTGATGAGACTATTCAGCTTGGCTTCGCGGTGCATCTGCCGAAGAACCTTAAGCACAGCGTTGGATCCCTTTGACGGTACGCCCTGCTCGCCTAGGAACACTGTGACTTTGTTTGACGCTAACTCTCCGAGCTGACGTACTGTATCTTTGTAGCTGGATGATAACTCGTCGAGCGCGTACCCGTCTTCGATGAAGAGCCTCATGAAGGCCACGAGCTGCTTGGAATCCGATTTCTTGTGCTTATTAGTACTCTACCATCCACGCGGAACAGCCGTGTACCACGCAAACCACGTGTCAACAAGCGGTATTGTCTTGGATCGACGGCGACGCTTTACTGGTACGATTTCATCTTCGTCTCTTACTCGCTTGGCTTGATTATCTCGTGCTAAAGTTTCCCCTTCGGTGTTGTTCATTGCAGCTTCTAGCGAGTTAACTCGAGCTTCAAGGCTACGGTTGACCTCAATTAACCTTTCAATTAAGGCAGTTTGATAATTCAACGCAGCGTTGGCCTTTACAATTCTTCAGTCATGGCTTCGGCGGTGGTGTTGGCGTGTTCATTTGACGCTGTGAGCCGTTGTGACCATGCAAGCAGGTTGGTCGTCGTCACTCCAGAGGCTTCCGCACATAGGTGAATTGTCTTCATTGCAGGTGTCTTCGCGTTGATCTTCACTAACGACGGGTAGTGGAGGAGGAGGGTTGCTGTTAGCACATCTCTCACAACAGCGCAGACGCTAAAGGCCTTGTTACCCAGATCATGGCTCGAGTTGAAAAGCTTCCGGCTAACCTCTCTAACCTTTTCTAGTGTTGCAGCGTCGAAGGATTTCAGGGACGGGAGAGAAGAGGCTTGCTTTGGCGTCATCCCACTCAGCACCTTAGCAACTTGATGATCTTCTTTAGGGGCGTTGAAGACGTACGCAAAGGCTTTGTTAGTCGTAGTCAAGTTCCAAGCTCCGCGATCAAAGATCCATTGAGCTGCCAGCTCTTAGTTTGCGTTCGCGTGTTGCGCGCCGCCACGGCGAAACGAATGTGACGTCAGCGACACTTCGACTCCAGCAGGACCAGCAACGCGATCGAGCACGCGGTTGACAAGAGCGTGGATTCCAACTCGCGTGAGCAGTGGTGCTACCTGGCGACGTCTGAGAAGAATTCGGGGCACTATTGTCGTCAAGAAGTTCCAGTAATGGTATCGAGGCAGCTAGGTCAACAGGAACGTCCTTCGACTTCGCCGGCAAATGGTTTAGCAACGCTGCACACGGAGACTCATGCGTAATCAAGGCCAGCGCGAGCGCTAGCAGCGGACAAGTCATGAAGTCAGCGTCAGGAAAAAGTGACAGTGACTGCTCATCGGACGTCTTCACGCGGATGAATCGGATAAAGAAAACCCCTCCAGCTCCGACGGAGAGCTGCTGCTACCGGACGAACGTAATGTCTGATGCACGGCCGAAGAGGTACCACAGGAGGCACAACAACGCAGCATCTTGGTAGTCCGACGCACAGCGAGCCGTTGAATATAAGTAGCGTATCATTTTCTTGAGATCGTCTTTTGTGCACGCAATAGCCTTCTTGACGAACCCACCACTTTCACGCTTGATGCCGTGCTGTTCAAGGGTACGCCCCATGCTGAGCAGCTGTCGTGCTACAGCGCCACCTTGAACAGGATACTCATCTAAAAGCCAGCATTTGACCTGGCAGAAGTATTGAGCGACGGAGTGGCGCGACAGAGGCTGCCCCTTTGCTCCTGCGTGGAATGCCAGGTACACACCAAACTTGTCCATTAGAGTCACTAGTATACTACTCGCGCGACTAGAGTCTGCGACGATCAAAGCCACGACGTGCTCCATGGTAGTATTCTCTAAAGACAGGAAGCGCTCAAACGCTTTTAAAGCCTTCACGGCGCGCTTAGT